GCTATGTATCAAATGACAAACTTTTAGCAGTTATCTATGTTTTTTTTGGTGTTGTTCATTTGCATTTCATCTTTTAAGTTAACTATAAAAAATTTCTCATTTTTAATATAAGTTGTTTTTCTACATTCTTTCATGATGTTTATGAGATAATATAGTTTGTTGCTCTTTTGCATCATCAAAAATTTGTTAAGTATATAGAACCACATTTGTCTTACTCTTGTACTGTTTATGAGTGATTGTCGGAACCTATCACATGCTTGAACAAATAGAGACTCGAGGATTTTCCTTTTCAAGTTCGAGACAAGTTTTGTTTGGATGACAAATTAGTTTTTCAATTTTTTTCTTCAAGTGGAACAAACATCCTTTAAAATAATTTCAAATAAGGTAATCAAACATCAAAAAAAGTGTTTTAATAATTACTCCTTTAGTCTTATTTATAAGAAAAAATTAACTTTTTAGCTACATTGAATAAATAATATTGTTCAGATATATTATTTATTCAATATATCTAAAAAGTGAAAATTTTCTTCTAAATAAGACCAGAGGTAATAATATACTTTTATAACATTTTTATTTAACACTTTAATTTTCTTAGCATAAAAAGATGTGAATTTTCTACAAAGATTTTAAAAGATCGTACATAACAATAATGTGTTTCTTAGATCTATAGATGTAATTTTAAAGAGAACTAATTTTATTTTTTTTCATATGTAATTTTTTTAATAATGTGTAAAATTAATATCTTTATCAAGGATGTTGGAAATCTACCAAATATATGTTGAATTTCTATCAATCTTGATGAACAAGATTGATATCACCATACAATGACAATGAAAAATAAGAAAGAAAATAAGAAAGAAGATAATTTTTTTTCTGCAGAGTTTCTCTTTGCCTACAAACTATGGAAAACTTTATTATTCACTTTGCAACTGTAAAATTATGTGAATACAATGAATTGACTTGATTACAAAAATAGGGGTTACTCCCTCTATTTATAGATTTAGGTTAGCTTGCTCTCTAAGCCAAAGCTCAAAACTATAAAAGCCCAAAATACCTATTTTAGAACTAAATCAAATCTATTGTATTTTATATCTAAATCAAATCTATCTAAATCTAAAACAAATTTGTGCGTAACAAATTGTTTCCACACTTCTAAATCAAATTAAGTCTTTTCGACATTCTCTTGTCTCTGTCGAGCAAACTACTTTGACACAGGGAATTACTTTCAAAACACCATTTAATTCATTGTGTCTAAGCTATCTACATTCATCATAGCTCTTAGTCTTTGAAATACTTCCACCTGCACGCTCTTTGTCATGATGTTTACAATCTGATTCTCAGTTCTGCAGTGTTCCAAGTTCATCTTCCCATCTATTACCTGCTCTCGAAGATAGTGGAATCTAATTTCGACGTGCTTGCTTCGACCGTGAGCTATCGGGTTCTTCGCCAGATTGATAGCTGACATGTTGTCGATCTTCATGGTAATTGTTCCATGATCTTTCCCTATTATCTCTTCGACCAAGTTCATCATCTAAGTTGCTTGACACGTACAACGAGAAGCAGCTATGTATTCTGCTTCACATGATAATAATACCACTACTGGTTCTTTTCTCAAACTCCAAGCAACTGGTGCACCACCTAACATAAACACATATCCTATTGTGGATTTTTTATCCTCAACATCACTACACCAACTCGAATCAGTCTATCCCTCTAACTCACATTCTTTTCCTTTATCAGCTACCGGAAACAAAATACCATAGTCGAGAGTTCCTTTGAGATACCTTAGTATCCTCTTCAGCGCTTCTAGATGTGATATCTTTGACTTCTGCATGAATCTACTTACCATACCTACAATGTATGCTAAGTCAGGCCTTATGTGACAAAGGTATCTTAGTGACCCAATAAGTTTTCTGTATCGGGTTGGGTCGACATCATCTTCTTCTGCATCTTTCAACAGTTGCAACCTTGTTTCTGTAGGTGTCGAAGTCGAGTTGTATTCTTCCATCTTAAATCTCTTTAGAATTTCTCCTGTATATCTTCTTTGATGCATCATCAAACCTCTACTACTCTTGTAGAATTCGATAACAAGGAAATATGAAAAGTCACCCAAATCAGACATTTCGAATTCCTTGCTGAGATCACCTTTGAAGTCTTTGATCTCCTTCTTATAGCTACATGTTATTAACAAGTCATCAACATAGAGACATAGTATAAGCAAGTCACTCTTGCTTCTTCTTACATTACTCCATGTTCAGTTGTGCACTTCACAAATTCTTTTTCCTTTAGAAAACTATCAATCTTCTTATTCCAAGCTCTTGGAGCTTGTTTCAATCCATACAGGGATTTATGCATGTTATACCCTAAAATTTTCCCTCCCAGTTTACATTCAAGATATTCTCCTAGGGTTCTCAAACGATCAAGGTGGCTCAAGAATTGATCATACAAATTCTCATTCTAAGCAATGGGTCCACAACTAGGGTTTGGTATTTCTAAAGAAAGATTGGGTTTCCAGGGTCTCAAGTGGCTTTCATGGCTATTCATATGTATTCAAGAATTCTCATATCAGATTTCAAGTCTTGCATCACAAGTTTACTTAGCCAATGATTCAGATGACTGAAAATCAACTACACTGGGTAAAAAGTCAACATTTTCAAGATCAAGTTCAAATGATTGTAACTTCTTCATTATTCAATATTTTTGAGTGGTTCTTTTTGCGTATGACTCTCCTTGACATCATCTCCAACAATGATTCTTCTGCAGAAAAAAGGACAGAGTCTGGAAAAGATAATGTGGTTGATGTGCCTGAATCGAGTGACAATTTACAAGAAAGTGACGAAGTTGTACAAAATGATGTTTTTGTGGCTTCTGGCAGCCCTACAATATTTAAACACCAACCCATTTGGTAACTCCATCTGAGATACTCTCTAAATCTGCTTTATCTTCTACTAATTCTAATACCTCTCAAGGTATGAATGTTCAAGATGTGGCTACACATGGTGATGCAGAAAAGTTTGAAGTAGAGGTTAAAGTAGTAGGTGAGAGTGAGACAGGTTCTAATCAAGAAAATACCAAGTGTGACAGAGACATAGGCTCACTCCCCGATGTTGCTGAGAAGAAAGAGAAGCTATTCCATTCTCAGGCTTCTGATATTGGCATTCGGATGGCCAAAGACACCTATAATATCAAGGGAGTTCATCAAGTTGATAGAGACACCTATAATACCCAAGGAGATCTTCAAGCTGATAATAATAATACTATTGAAGCACCTTATAGAGATAATTATAATATCGAGAGAGTTCTTCAAAACACAAATAAGGAGGCACCTGCAAACATCAAGGAATCTGAAGTTGTGGTTGCAACTTCGCAACCTCCAGCACCTTCCACCAAAGGAGGCTCTTCCATGGAGTCTGCTTTACCACAATTATCTTCTATGTAAGAGATGATGGGCCAGCTATTAAGCAAGCAAAAAGAAGGCAAAAGATTAGATGTTTTGTTGGGTAAAAGAATGGATAAGGTAGTCAAGGCTAACGACAATGCTTTGTGGGCATGCATACAAGAAGAAAAGCAAGAGAAACTAGAGCGTGACCATGTGCAGCAAATAACTAATATGATCTTCAATTACATAGACAAGGATATGTCATCTCTATTGGAGAAAATTATCAAGGAAATATCTTCAGTTGGAACAACCATTACTCGTTCACTCAGTAAAAATATAGAGAAAGCAATAACAATAGCTGTTACAGAGTCATTCCAGAAGGGGGTGGGAGACAAAGTAATGAATCAACTAGATAAGTCAGTTAGTTCAAAACTTGAAGCTACGGTATACAAGTACAATTTCAAACTACTGGCAAGAAGGCTCTTCAGAAAGAACTTAGGACTAGTGTTGAAGCTACATTAGTTCCTGCTTTTAAGAAGTCTTGCAAACCTATGTTTGACCAAATTGTTGGCACATTTCAGAATGGAGTTTTGAATCACACAACTGTTATTCACATCAGTATGATTCTACTCATTCTCCGCTAGCCATCACTTTGAGGGAAACAATTAACTCAACATCATTCATAATTCAAAAAAAATTTCATGTCCCTCTTGCAAAATTACAAGTTACAAAGAAAATTACACAAATCTTTTTTATCCTAAACCTATGTTCCTTCATGAGTCTTAAGCTTTCACCCATCATGCCGAGACTTGTCCAAACATTGATCTGCACAATTAGTCCATACCAAATCTTCCCATAACCAATCTCAAACCAGCCTGCAAACCTCCTGCATCAGCCCAAAATTCTGCTCTGCTACAAACTGCTTCAAAACCTGCACCTTATGTCCAGCCTACACAAAACTGTCAAAAATAGCCTACTTCAAAACCTGCATGGACCAGTCCTGCATCAGAAAAACAACAAAAAACACTACCGATTTAGTTCAAATTCAGCACTTTGTGGCTCCAATTTCCCGCAAAAAGCTCACCCTCATTTCACAATAAGAAAGGTAGTCCTGCATACAAAAAAGGAAGACACCGTTCAAGCAGAAATACAAACCTCAACTTTCATCTGTAACACAAAATCTCATACCTCAATCAACCTCCAAAAAAAAAACCTCACTCAAATTCTGCAGAAGTTCATAACAATTTCCTAAGGCTTCTGCAACTTAACTTTACTTCCAAACTCACAACTTTAATAGCCTTATACCTTAATTCACCCTCACTCCCTGCAACACCATTAGCCTTCCGACTTCATCAATCCGTAACACACGACAGCTACATCTTCAACATTAATCTTCTTCAATCTAATTCCGCATCAACTATACAACAACAACGAACCTGCGCATATCATTCTATTAACAACTTCTACAGAAACACGACAAATAAAAGATGCAGAGTAAAAAAAATGGAAAAACCGAAAGAACAATGAAGGAATTTGTACATGTAGAGTACGTCATTCAAATCCTCAAGAATTTCACAAGTAAATCATCTTCTCTTTGCTTTGTTTACATCAAGACATGAACTCATTTTTCTTTGCCTCTGCTATTGCCATTTATTCGGTCTTTGAGATGTGTTGGTGGAGTCGATGTTTGAGATCGGTGATGAATGGAGAAGAATAAGAACAATGGTGACACTGTTATGGTTAGCGAATGAGGAGCGAGAAGGTGATGGCTACGTAATGGCCACGACGGTCTAGGCAAGTGATGAAGAAGTTGAGAAAGGTGAAAGAGTGATACGATGCAGACAAAACGGCGGCGAAATGAGTAAGCAGAAAGAGAGGCGCTCTGTTCTTCACAATCAGGCATTCGAAATTTTTTAGGGTTTTTTATTTCATATAACCCGGTTCTCATGGGTCTGGATTATCTGATCTGGTCTAGCCCATGGTAGTTTTTGGTTTGCTTTCATTTCAATAACTTATATTCTGGGCCATAACCAATCCGAAAATACACCCCCTACTTTGCTAATCTTGACCCATTTCATATTTATTTTGTTATTTTCTTCTTCTTCTTCTTTTTTTGTGTGTGTTTTCTCTTATTTGATTTTATCATTTGTTTATAATTATCTTATATTATCCGATCAAAAAAATAACCAAAATATACTGGAATAGGTTTATTTCCTTTTAATTTTAATATTTCTTTTATACCAAAAATATATATACATATATTTTAATTTCTTTTAATCAATTATTTTCTTTTCTTTAATAGAATAGGTTTTTATTTTCTTTTCAAATTTTCTCACAAACAAAAATATCAAAAATATATATTAGTTTAATTTAATTTCTTTCATTTTAATCAATTATTTTCTTTTCTTTAATAGAATAGGTTTTTTTTATTATTTTCTTTTCAAATTTTCTCATAAACAAAAAAACCAAAATAGTATTTGGAATTTTAATTCTTGAATTTTCGTTCATAGCTTTTATTTGATTTAATTTCCTTACTTGATAAAATCACAAAACAATTCCCCTTTTCTTTTTTTGTATAATTTACTATTTTCACATTTTTTTCCGATTATTGTAACTGTTTACGGTTTGTAATAGTTTAATTAGGCTTTTAATTCATCCCCATTCATAAATTTGTACCTCCATTCCCGAAGCCTTGTAATAGCGTAGAACTTCAATTTCCGCAATTTACTGCTTTTCTTATTACCGTTAGTTTAATAGGTTTGTTGGAAAGAGCTAAAAAAACGCTAGATAACCATAAATCCAAGATAAATTAACTGAAATCAAAACACTTTTCACACGCGCACCTCTAGGAAGACCTCGCTTGTTGCCTTAGGATAAAACAATCATGTCCCTCAAATGTAGGATGTTTTAGCAAAATACTCTCGGTTAAAAGATCGTAGTTCCTCGATGACTCTTCGGTGATGCCTTCGGTAAACGATCTTAGTCCCTTACAAAAATTTCTAAAGCGCCCTACAAGTTGCCTTCTATGATTGTACGATGACTCACGCATGTCCCTCAAACATCCAATAATAGGACTTCCTACTAACCAATGGTAGGATATCACTATCTAAAGGAGGAGGAAAAGAACAAAGACTTTTGAGTAGGTAGATAGTTCTTCATCACTTTCTCGCGAACATTTCAAAACATTTTTCACACAATGACACTTTTTCAACAAATATTTTCAAAATAAACATTTTGTATGCATTCTCAATGATACGAGAATCATTACAAAATTTCCGCACTTAGGCATTTTCAAAATATTTTCAAACAAACACAAACACAAACACAAAGCATTTTCAAAAGTGAGCTAGCGATTAAGAGCCTGTAGATAACTACAGATGAAAAGGGTTCTAACACCTTCCCTTTTCATAACCTACCCCCCGAACTCAGAAAATTCTCAAAGGTCTTTCCTGTTCTTTTCACCCTTTCCTTTATTGGATAAAAGAAAAGTCGATGGTGACTCTTGCTATCCGCAACATTTGCGATAAAATGCAAAACCAAAAGTCAGTTCTCCCACCGTATCACAATGCATCTTGTACACCTTTCTCTCTTTGTCATGTTTCACAAACCCAATTGGTTGTTTAACATAAAATTCTTCATCTAAGGGTCCATTTAGGAATGCACACTTCATGTCCATCTGACATATGTGCCAACTATTCCTGCTATACCAACAACTAACCTGATTATTTTGATTCTAGCCACAGGTGCAAAAACTTCATCGAAGTCTATTCCTTCTTTCTATAGAAATCATTTCGCCATGAGCTTTACTTTGTGTCGAGTTACTTCCCCTTTGGGATTCATATTTACTTTGTATACCCACTTGACATTTATTGCCTTCTTGGCCTTGAGAAAATTTGACAAGTGACCAAGTGTTGTTGTCTTCGATAGACTTCACTTCTTTGTTCATTTCTTTCACCCACTTCAAATCCTTCAATGCTTCAGCTGCATTGACAACTTTGACATCTGCATAGAAAGCATAATGCACCAGCTCACCTTAGTTATCAACCACATCATCTGATGTAATCACACAATCTTGCAACCTTGAAGTCATGTGTCTTGTTCTTTGAGGTCTTCTTGTACTTGGTTGATCTCTAACTTCCTCTTGTCTAACTTCCTCTTGTCAAACTTCTCTTTCTACTTGAGTTTTTGGTTCTTCAAGTAAGATTCTCACTGAATCTTTCTTGACATTTTCAGTCCAATCCCATTCTTTAAGCTCATATATGATTGTGTCCTTGTTAATCACAATCTGCTTGTTCACTGGGCCGAACAACTTGTAACCTCTTGTCGAATGATATCCTACTAGGATCATTTGACTCGACTTGTCATCAAGTTTTCTTCTTAACTAATCTAGCACATGTCTATATGCAATAGATCCAAATACCTTCAGATGACTCAAGCTAGGCTTCATACCAGACCAACATTCTTCTGGAGTAATTCCTTCTAGCTTCTTCGTAGGACATCTATTCAAAATATATGTTGCAGTCGACACAGCTTCACCCCAAAACTCTTTAGGTAAATGCTTGCCTTTCAACATACTTCTTACCATATTCATGATGGTTCGATTCTTCCTTTCTGCATTTCTATTCTGTTGTGGAGTGTAGGGTGGCACCACCTCATGCATAATCCCTTATTTTTCACATAACTTGTTGAAGTATTTCGACACATATTCTCCACCACCATCACTTCTAAAAACTTTGAGCTTTCGACCATTTTGTCTTTCAACCATAGACTTAAACTTGGCTAATACCTCGATCACTTCACTTTTCTTCTTTATCAGGTAAGTCCATAGTTTTCGACTGAAATCATCTATGAATGTAACAAAGTATTTGTTATCTCTCATCGAATCCACCTGGATTAATCCATATACATCAGAGTATATGACTTCGAGAATAGCCTTTGACCTGCTTCATGCATCATTGTTAAAGTTGTTCTTGTGTTGCTTCGCTTGCACACATTCCTCACATACCTCGTTTGGAATGTCAATTTCTAGCAATCCTGAAACCATATTTCTTCTTTTCAAATATCTGATGTCTTTGATGTTGAGATGGCCTAGTCGATAATGCCATATCGATTCATCTCTGCTAGCTGCAGTTGAAAGGCACTTGTGCTCCATCACATTAAGTTCAATCTTGAAGGTTCTATTTTGAGACATGGAAGCCTTCAAGATTAACCTTTTATTTGCATCGACGAGTATCATCATCTTGTCTTTGATCGACACTTTCTAACTCTTTTTGAACAACTTCCCTATGCTGAGCAAGTTACTCTTGATGCCTGGTATATACAACACATTAGAAAGTACTGACCTCTTGCCAACTTTCCTCATAATCATAACATCACCAATACCTTCAGCTACTAGGATATTGAGTAACACCCCGATTTTAATTTCTATTATTTAATTAATTTATTAATTATTATATTATATAATAATTGATTTAGTTGTGTGATTTGATGAATATTTGAATTATTTGAATACATGTGTTATTTGAATAATTGGAGTTATAAGTAATAATAGTAAATAATTAGAATTTGGCTTTATGTCATAATAAAATGGGTAAGTGGAATTAGGCCCATTAATGAAATAGATTAGTAAGAAGAGGGATTAGAATGAGTGTTGTCATAAAACAAAAAAATAAAGAAGAGAAGAGAAGAGGAGAAAGAGGAGAAAATAGGAAAAGAGAAGAGGCGGCCCTAAAGACTCTACACTCAAGGTAAGAGTGAGAATCTATATTATTATGGAAGTATATGATGGATAGTAACATTTAATGGAGTTTGGGTGTGTGAATTTCTAGGTTTTGAATCACCCAGATTGATTTAGGGATTTGGAAATAAGGTTTTTGAAATCTAGTTTTTATGATATAAATAGGTTCCATGTAATGTATATATGTTAGAATATATTTACTTGGTGAAAAATGGGCATTAGAACATGTCTATATGGTGATTTTTATGCACAAGTCAGTAGCTGTTCACAACAGATTTTTCTGGTTTTCGCATAGGGCGCTTAGCGCGGGTGGCTGGACACAAAAATTTTATTTTATGCATGAATTGGATTGGGATCTTGTATGTTATGATTTATCCTAGATTTACATGTATTTTAATAATTTATTTGACTTGATTCAGATTGGTTTTGGAAGCATTTTGATGAGAAACTTAACACTTGAATTGTGTACGTAAGTGTTAGAATTTGATGATGTTTGAATATAGCATGAGTTGTATCTAATTGCTACATGTTATAAATATGTGTTGAGATGATTTGTACTATGAAATTATGTATATGTGATTGATTTACACGAAAGATGTATGTTATACAATGTTGTGAAGATAATTCAAAATGTGTTGAATTATTTGATGAGTTTTTGTGATGAGTTATTGAGATTGCACATGTACATGCATCATTTGTGTCAAGAGTCAAGGTTTGATAATTTTGCGAGAACTATTAACTTGTCCCAAACCTAAAGTTGAATGGGGTTTGAAAGCTTAAGGTTGAATCAGACTTTTATTGGTGGTTATCTGTCTTGTAGGTGTGGACCCAGCAGGACCAGTAAGGATAACATTGGTACCACATGCATAATGCATTTGAGTTGCATTGGAGCCACATGGATCGACGTGAATTATTGTATTATCACTCATTATGTAATATTAGCGTGAATGTGGTGTTTTGATGTGCAACATGTGATAATTGATTTAATTATACAATTGTGGTAATTGGAATTGAAATTCATTTGGAATATAAATTGATGAACTATGTTATATATGTGGATTGGTATATTGGATTATGTTATACCTAATACGTGGTTTTATGAAGAGTGATGGATTCATATTGATGTGTGTATATTTTACATTGCTTATGATTATAT